TACAGGTAATAAATCCGCTGAAGTAAGAAACTTCACTCACCTGGCTGCTGTCGTCGCACGCTAAACTGTTGTTTTCTGCCGAACCCCACAGCGGTAAGATACATTTGATAGTGGCCCTCAGTTCCGTGTTTGACTGCAAAATCTTGTCTAACTGTCTCTCTCAGAGTTCAAGCGGCTCGATCGCAAACTGTGCATGCGCTACGGAAACTACCGTGCGGGTCACGTCTGCTTTGCGCGCGCCTCCCTGCGTGCAGCAAAAACATGACTTGGGATGTTTCTAGTGTTTCTGCGGGCTCTTAACTGTGACAATTGGCGATTGCATTTTGTAACAAACTTCTACTTGATTTTTTTTTCCTGACCATGTCCACACAATGTAAGTGTCCATTTGTGCTAATGAATGTAACTGAACTTCACACAAATATATAAAATGTATGTATGTATATATATATATATATAAGCTTGGGAAGGCTTCTGCAAGAAAAATGAATGTAAATTGTACATATAACACAGCTAGACTGCTGATTTTAAAGTGCATTTTATTATTGTAGAATACAGATCTTCCTTATGATTGAGTCCAAAATTGAGCTTTATTCCCTTTTCATTCTCACAAAAATATACAAAACATATTGATGTCTTAATAGATTATAAGAGCTAATAATATGAGTGACACGGCCTCAAAATAATGACTCAAAATGTCTTTTTTCAAAATAAAGATCAACCATGAAATATATAAAAATAAAATATAGAATTGTTTATGCATATCAATATTTGCTTATTCTTGGGATTACCAGTTTTTACCATAGATGTGACCACTGATAAATCAATAGAAACATTGTGAAAGCTGCAGTTCTGTGCTTTGTGCATATCAGTGAACCAGCTGGAATTGTCTACACTTCACAGATAGGCACTACAAGTAGGAAATATACAAAAAGTAGAATTAAACAGTATCTATGCCCAATGTTTTTTTGTTTTTGTTTTTTGGCTTAGTTGGTGACTCTTGATTTTGGAAAGTGTGATATGACTGCTCAAGCAGCAACAATTGTTCCCACTGCCATATTATCATCATATATATACAAATCAATCACAGATCATATAAATAGCAAAGTATTATATTGGCATGCCAAAGAGAATAGAGATGAGGATAAGGTAAATGTCTGTCTAGGGCAAAGAGCATCTCCCACATTCAAAGAGCACAATTAGAGGTGGGATTTTAACAGATTTATGATTATCAACACTTTCAGTGTCATGTTAAACCTGGTGCACTTGCAAATCTGTGACACATCAGATGTTCTGTAGTGCGCAAAATGCAGCTGCAACCTAACAATACATTTTTCAAAATTCCTCTGAAGGCAAGGTAACAGTATTTTCAATAGAAAAAAATGAGTTTGTGCATAAATTTAAATTTGAGGAATGCAACTTCCTCAACCAAAACAGTTAAGTCAAGCAAAAAAATGAGTATTATTGTTGAAATTCAGAGATATTTTGTCTTTATCAAAGTGTGACTGGGTCTTGGATAGAGAAGGTTTAATTATGGTGTCCATTAAGTTTCGTTGTGCTGTACCAGTTGACTATAGAACATTATTAATTTGCTTGGCTCAGTCACTGGCATCAAGTTAAATGCCCTATACCAAGACATTAAACAATATAAAACAATTGTTAAACAACATTTAGTACACTTAACAGTAGGAGAGTACAAGATTTATAGCAACTTTTCAAAACAATGAAAAGAGGTGTTGAACAGGATTTTATAGAACAGTAAATGTACCAGCTTGATGTTTTATAGTTGTGCTGTAATTTTTATTGCATGGATGATCACGGATACATGTGGAGTAAACCTTACTAGAGCACTGGCTGTGGCACTAATGATCCTCCAACTGTTCTATCTCTGCATCTCTCTCACTCTATTTCAGTGGCATCCATCTGGTTTCAAGACATACTACTGGCTTTGATACTTAATTTTAGCATCATATACACTAAATCCAGGTGGAGTAACTAATATTACCTCATCAAAAGCCATCATCTCTTAAACTTACAGAGATCTGTGAAAACTATTAGGCAAATATTAAAACAAAAAGTCAAAGGGGAATTACAGTGTATGAAATAACCTTATGTTACACCACCACCTACTGTTTATCTGAAGAATTGCAATAATATTAATTTAGAGAGAACAGGCATTCTTACACAATACATCAAAATCCAGTGGAATGGAGACAAAAAATAAAAATAAAACAAAAAATAAAAATCACAATAATTCACCTCATCTCCCTTTAAGTAGACCAGCCACAAATTAAAATGTTTAAACTATCTTTTCTATATCTGTTAAAATGTACTTTCAGAAATTAACTTGGTCACTCAAGTTATCGGAAAAAGGGTAGCTGACATCCAGAAAAAAAAAATATATATAGCACACTACATGACAAGCAACAATCATGTTTTGCCACTCAGCTATAAGACAGAACACAAAACATGTCTGGCCACTGCGGTCAGAATATAGAAATCCAATGTCTTTGATAAAAATAAATACATTAACAAATACAACTTATTTTTGTGATGGACGGATCATTCAGAGAAGCAGAATGAAAACCGCAGCGGTAGTGTTCTTCAAATTTCCAGATCAACACACTTTACTCCTCCTGCTGACAGACCGCTCACACATACACTCAACATACACACATTCATACAGTGTGCACGGAGTCGTGTGTGTTTTTGGATGTGCAGTCAAATACTAACACCTCTCTTACACTGCCCAACCACATCATTACACAAACAATAGAACAGCAGAAGAGGCTGATGATAAGTGTTGGCAATTGAACCCAAACCCGTACACAGCTGTGAGGAGCTGTTTTACGGTTATAGCATGGCAAAATTTGAACAATACTATAAAAGTATTATGAAACCATTTCCATGTTGGATAATATTTTTGGGTTATTTTGTAGTTTTAGTTTTTTTTTCTTTTTGTATATTTTTTTTTAATAATATTTGTATAATCTGCATACATGACAAAAAAGAACCACTCTTCAAAAAAGAAAACCATGCATAATTTCTCTTGTACGATTTACGTTTTTTTTTTTAGACATTTAAAAATCTTTGCACTTTCAATATAACTTTTTTTTTGTAATTTGAGTCCTTTTTTATTTCAGTTGTCCTCGGTGAGGCAAAAGTCCCAGGGCTTCAGGTATTGCTCAAGTTGAATTCTCTCTCCTACATTCTCTGGTCCTCCACATCTCCAATAGAGCAGTGTAGCTCCCATATGGGCAGCGAGCAGAAGCTCTGCAGAAGCCAGTGGAAATCAGGCCTAAACTCTCCATATGATTTCAATCCCATGGCCAATGCCCCACTTTAATTATTATTTTTTTCTTTTCCTTTTCCAGCTACAAAGTCACACACATCCCTTACACAGTGGGACAGGAGAGATAAATGATACCACCAGCACCCTTCTGTGGTCAGAGACATTAAGAGCAGGTGTAAGTCTGAAAGAACAGCTCCCCCTATCTACACAGGTCCTCATGCGCTACCTCACGCTGAGGTTTCCTCTTCTTTATGTTGGTTTTTTGGGACTTGCTGTTTTGATGGCTCTTGTTGGGGTTGTTGTGTGGCCCTTGAGCACTTTTGTTAGCAAGCTGCCGACTCTAGAAAAAAAAAAGAAACAGATGACATTTATATTAAGGTTAAAACTAACAAATAAAACTCTAACATGTTACGTTGTTTGTTAACATCAGTTAATGTTTTAGATATCAACTAAAATGAAAATTTTTAAAGCATTTATTAATCTAGGTTATTTAATAAATATACTGTTGTTCACTGTTAATTTGCTGACAATGTTCCTTCATAATATATGGTATTATACACAGTCGTGGTACACAATGCCAGTTTTATCAGAAAGCTGGATTAGGCTAAAGCAGAGGAGAAATGCAAGAAAAAAATATAACTTAAAGCAGCACTATGTAATTTTTTCTGTGTTCAAAATATGCAAAATGTATATAATGAGCGAGTACATCATGAATTCATCTTCCAAATCGCGTTTTTGTCTTATTCCGAATCACTACGGTACACTAAGTACTTATATTTGGACTATTGTAGCCTGGTCGGGTCGTCACCGCTGCGGAGTAACACATACCTGCGTGAATCGCCAAGTAGCTCCGGTTGGAATGTTTTTCCGCGGGATGTGTGCAGTTCTGTTTATTAACCGCTAGAGCGTCAAAAGTTACATAGTGCTGCTTTAAAGTATTAGTAGACATTAAATATGGGGTGCTCCGATTGATCGGCTACCGATCACTATCGGCCGATAATCACGTTGGGATGATTGATCAGCGGTCTCTAAAAAGGCAGATCTCCAAAAATCGATCTCAAGCTGATGACGCTGCCGTGAGAGGTTTGGCACGACATGCAGAGGCACCGTCTCAGTCTCTGTCCGGCACGGGTGAAATAATTATTATGCTGAAGGTGAGGTACTCAGCAGTGGTGTAGTCCTAAAGAAAAAAGTGGTTTACTATTACCCAGTAATATTACCCTATTACCCCCCCCCCAAATAAAGTTTAATTTATATAGTCATTTATTAATATTAAATGCAGTGCACTCTAAGACAGATAGTAGTCTACTGCATGACTTCCAGGTTGTCCCAGGTCTGTTGACCACATTACAGTTCTATATATAATGTTGCTTTGGAATTGTATTCATTGTGACATTTTTTTACAGATAAATCTGAATTTAATGTTTTATTTTATGCAACTGGGTAGAAAAAAATAACTTGATATGAATTCATGAAATAAATATTTCCAGATAATATTTTCTTAAATTTGCTTTGGCTTTAGCACAGTGGAAATTTAAAAGACTAATTTAATAAAAAATAATGTATATTTATACATTTTTCTCAAACAGCATAAGTGGGTCTTTATACATGTAAAACATATAGCTAATGTTATAATTTAGGAAGGGAATCATCTCCTGCAAGAGGATTTTCCAGCGT